CTAAGCCAGAGGGATTTCAGAGGTTGTACTAAAGGGATTGGTTGGATACTGGCTAAGAACACACTGTGTTGCAAGCAAAGCTGTTTGTAGCCCTTTTCCCTAAATTTCCTCAAATTACTTCCTGATGGGATGTGTTCTCTGCTGCAGATCTGGATGCAGAAGATCATCTGATGGTGACTAATTTCACACAGATCTGTAGCAGAGGCCTGATCTCTGTCAGCCACGAGCAAGGCTGTGCCTCCCTCCTGAACCTGCTGCTTCTGCCTGTTCCCATGGCAAACACAACTGCAGATCTCACCCGAAGTGAGGAGTTCTGAATCCCTCTCTTTACACCAAACCCCCAGAGCCACGAGCAAGGCTGTGCCTCCCTCCTGAACCTGCTGCTTCTGCCTGTTCCCATGGCAAACACAACTGCAGATCTCACCCGAAGTGAGTTCTGAATCCCTGTCTTTACACCAAACCCCCAGCTTGCCTTCCCAGCACAGAGGCAGGGGATGAGATCCAGCATTGCTGTGATAGCTCTGCCAGCTTGTGACAAAATTCCAGCCCATGGCTCAGGGAAGACATGCCAGCACATCTGGGAGACACATCCCCAGATCCATGGGCAGAGCTGTGGAGGTGTTGGCAGACACTTGCCTGTTCATTTCATGCTTTCCAGAGATCACTCATTGTGTTTGATGTTCCAGAAAAGCATAGGATGATCCTAACCTTGTGTTGCCCATTTTTCACAACAGAATTTGGCTTGAGAGTTCATGCTTTAGTGAGCAACAGAAACTTGAAACTTCCTCTAAGCACCTACTGTATCAGGATGAGATGTGACCACGTTGATTTAATTCATGTTTGTATAATGGGGTGGTTTTCCCCCACAACTGCAAAGCCAAGAACTCAGTTTCTAATGAAAAATGAAATTCAAAACACAGCACGTTGGCCATGCGTGTATCAGCTAGGCCATATTTGGCCCACATATTTGGGCCTAAAGAATACCAGAGAAAATAACCAAGAAACAGTTTGTGTTCCCTATAAATAGCTGCTCACCAGGTAGTCATGAGTGTGTGGTTTAGGAATAAAGTTTGTCCGAACAACATCAGAGTACTTGAATATTCTCTGCCTGATTTTGCTGGGTTGTGTGTCTTAATTGTCTCACACCTCCCCTCACAGATCCTTGTCCTGTTTTCTTTCCCAACCCTCTGAACTCCCTGGTAGCATTTGCACAGATTTTACTTAGAGTTTATCCAAAGATTTCTGCATTGATTTAATGCAGGGGCTACTTGAGCCAAGTGAAACAGGAACTATTTCTAAGGCATGAAAAAGCAGAAAGGAAATTTTCTTATTGAAATATAATTTTTCCATATTACTTAATAGTCTAGAAAGTTAATGCCTTTCTGGCAGCACTTCCCACTGGGATAAAAATATGGTTCCTACTCAGCCAAACAACAATGTAATAATGTTTTAGGTTGGGTTAAACGTCTCAGAGATTGGCAGGTGTCACAGCCACCTTGCCTTCAGTGAAAAAGGCAATTGAGAGCCCTTATGGAACAAGGGATTTACATCAGTAGGAGCTACTACACAAAAAAGCAGGCACATGGCAAGGTTTGAATAGATGGTGAATCATGTGGCCCAAGGGATTTTTCGGGGTGGGGACATGTGTGTAAAGTATCAGGCCATGAGGACCAGATGGCTGAGCTCTGCATGTGAGAGAGGAGCAGTGAGAAACACTGCAGAAATGGAGGCTGAGAAGCAGCTGAAAGTCAAGGACACTGGGGAGCTTTGATTTTGGAAATTTTGTGGAGGGTTTAGTGAGGGTCAGAGCAGTGCAGGCACTGTGAGCAAAAGCACAACTGAAAACCAATTTTGTTCATTTGTTCTGTAAACAGGAGGAATCACCTTGAGCAGTATACACCTGCTTTGTCATAGGCTCCTCCTCACACTGATTCTGTCACCAGAACTTTGTGCTGTGTGCAGGGATAGTTCAGCTCTCCCACACCATAATTCCCCCTTCCTTCTGTGCCCTGTCCATAATAAATTCCGTGGGGCAGAGACTCCCTCAGTAAGAGTCTGTGTGCACATGACAAGCAATTGTTTGCCTTGTACAACATCTGAAATTTATCAGAGATTCACTTGACTTACTTGGTAAATCCCATTCCTTAGGGTCTGTCTTTCCTACTGTGAATTTTTCAAGGCATTACTCTTGCTCAGTACATGCTGGAGTGGGACCTCATAGCTGAAAACACAAATAATAAATGTCACTGGTAATGTTAAAAAAATAAATATTTAAGGCTCTGCCTTGTTATGCACTTTCTTAACTAAGTTTATGAATATTCCCTTAGACATAAATGGTGTTGTTATGTTGAAGTCTTTGTAAATTGGGGTTTGTGTTATGAAGAAAAAAATGAAGTGTATTTCAAAAACATGGTTCTGATGACAATAAGGAAGAACAGGTCCCCATTCTTATCCAGTTTGTGTTACCAAATAAACTAACAATAGGAGTATGCAGCAGATGGTGTGTGCAAACAATATTGAACCTAATCTGTGAGTCTTTTTTTTTGGTGTTTTCATAACTAACCTGAATTATCCATCAATTCCATCCAGTCTGTTAAAGAATCTTTTAAAAATCACAAACTCCAGCAGTTTTCCTAAGCAGTTTGCTAACCTTTCACTCCTGCCTAACTTTTTCTTTGGTGATCATGAAGCAACAAACTGGCACCAAGATTGGAGCATGGATATCTTCCATACCCCACTAATGCCCTGGTTTGGTTGTGCTCACTGAGAATCTCCACACACACATTGACCCCTGAGCTGCAGATGTGCAAACTTTTTATGAAAGAACTTGTGCCAAAATCAATATGCAGGCCAAAACTGAACTAGAGAAGGACACTTGCAATTAGTAATGATCATATTTGAATTTCAGTAATGGAGGGTTGAATCTTCTTCCATTTAAATCAGTGTCACTATTCCATTTTAGATTTTGCTTTTTTCGGAGTCAGCAAAATAGGCTCAGCTTTTGCCCAAACCCAAATGATATACCTAAAGCACTGCATAGCTGCTAATTAAAATTAAGTACCTGAGACACTGAAATGTTGTATTTCATCCATAATAAGTTAACTCATTACATAAGTAGAGCATCCATTACTTAAAAACAGTCTTTGGAGTGTTTATAGTTGTATTTGTAATCTGCTTATTTTATGTTGTTTCATCCCAAACCTAAAGGTGTACAAATCTAACAGTTTCCTTAAGTATAGAATGTACAAGGAGACAGAGCTGTGAGAAATGTAAAGATTGTTTTGTGAGACTTGGGAAAAAAACCCTCAAAAACAAAAGAAAAAGCAAAACTTCACAAATTAATAATGAACCACAAAATACTTTTATCCCCCCAAAAATCCCCTTTATGGAAATAATTGACTTGAAAATAAACCCCTGAATTCTTCAGTTACAGGATGACTGTTAACTCTACCTGCTGATTGTATCATACATAGTGTGGTACTGGGTTTGAGCCAGGTCCAAATAAATCATTTCAGGATAAAACAAATTCTTTCCTGGCCCATCCATTCCTGTGCCATTGGAATGCTCTCAGCCATTACACTGGACAGAAGCTGATGGGATTTCCTGTGCTCCAGAGAAGATTTATAAGACTGTGGCTTGTAAAACATTTTTTGACAATTTCCATGTGCTTGCATAAACTTTTTTCTACGGGATAATGGTGAATTTTAAATAGGTGTGAATTTGCCTGCTTTTTTATTGTTATAATTTGAGTTATATGACACTGTATTAAGTACGACAGGTCCTTCTTATCTATTGCAGAAATATCCTTTTCTAGCTTTTTGTTTGCCCTTTGTCGGTTCTTTCCCTTTGCTTTGTGCACAAAGCAGAATCCTCCTTACCGAGTGCAGCAGTGTTTGTATTGGGTCTGGAAGGCCATCTAGTGACACAACTGCGCAGGGGAAAATGAAAAGCCTTACTCGAATTGTGGTTTGGGTTTTTTTCCTTATTAGAATTAAACGGTCTTGCTACGCCCGAGCATGTCCTTAAGGGGTTTGCTGCTATTTCCACAAGTGGTATTAAAAAAAAAAAATCGAGGAAATTTTTATTTCTTAAAAGCAAACCGACTTAAGATAGAGCACAGTGCTAATTCCTGCCAGGAAAGAAACATGCGGTTTTTGTGCTGAATGGTGGTAGATTTGCACCTGAGCAGATCCGTCCAAAACTCAGTGTCACTGCCCTGACCTGTGCATTGGAGCCAAACGTAATCCAGCAGTTGTGATCCCTTCCAGAGCCAAACATACTCAGCTGCTGTGATCCCCTGCATTCCACGGTACCAAAAAACGCCACATGGAAGCCTGGGGCCACCACATCTCTGCAATTAAAAGGAGAAATTCCAGTTATTTTCATTGCAGCTCACCTTGGATGGCGAGCCAGATGATGAGCAGAGCTGTCGGTTCTTTCCCAAGCAATAAATCAGCGGAAAACAAGCAGTGAGTCACTGCCAGTGCAGGCACCAAGGTTCCTTTCTGTGAGTGCCTCGGGGGTCTCTGCCTGCCCTCACCGTGCCTGGCACCGCTCGGCCCTGGGGACTGGTCCCACATCGGGGCCGAGCTGGAGCGCTCCCTCAGCGCCGGCCGCCGGGCGGGACCCAGCACGGCGCTGCAGGGGCTCCCTGTGGGAACAAATGGAACGGGAATACATAAATGGGGAAGGGCCGTGTGGGTGGAAGGGCAAAGGGACGCGGCCCGATGGTCCCGGGGGTTGGATCCTCGGGGGCTGCCCGGCGGGACGGGCGGGCGGAGCAGCCGCGGCGGGGCTGAGGGGACGCGGCGCTGAGGGGCCTTCCCGCCGTGACCCCGAGCAGCCGCGGCCTGCGGGCGGCCGCGGGCCGGCGATGAGGCCCGGGGTGCAAGAGAGGCTCCCTCAGCGGCTCCCTCAGCGGCTCCCTCAGAGGCTCCCTCAGTGTCCGGGGGCCCGGGCGGGGCCCTGCGGCACCTGAGGCGGCGGCGCGGCCAATCCCCGGCGGGGCGCGGGCGGCTCTGCCCGCCCCGGGCGCGGAGGGGGAGCGGAGCCGCGTCCCGGCCGCGCTGCGCCCTCAGCGGGCCCGCTCCGCTCCCGCTCCATGGAAGCGGCCAACGGGGCCGTGCCCGAGGGCGCGGCGGAGCAGCCCCGCGGCCCCGCGGCCGCCCCGTCGGGCAGGAAGGAGGTGAAGGTGGTGATCGTGGGCGACGGAGGCTGCGGGAAGACGTCGCTGCTGATGGTGTACGCCAAGGGCTCCTTCCCCGAGGTGAGGGGCTGCCACTCCCGCGGGGCTGGGGGCCGCGGCCGGGGCCGGCCCCGGCGCTTGGGCCCCGCCAGCACCGCTTCTCACAATCGCCGAGTCCATTAAGGTTGGAAAAGGCCTCTGAGATCACCGAGATCCTTGTCCCTTTGCAGCAATACGCGCCCTCTGTTTTTGAGAAGTACACAACGAGTGTGACGGTGGGGAAGAAGGAGGTCACGCTGAACCTGTACGACACCGCAGGTAAGGGGTTCCACTCTCCTGCGAGGGGCAGCTCCGCTGCGGCCACTGCGATGGCAGCACCGGGGACATTGGCCTGGGACTGAGCCCAAACCCGGCCCAGCCTTTCGAAACTTCAGGCAAATAAGCAGAAACTGTAAAGTGCTGCTCCCATGAGCACACGCACCCCCATTTCTGTTCCAGCAGATTTTTTAGTGACAGCTTAAATCAGCCCAGTATTTGAAGACTGTAAAGATGGACAGGTTTTCAAATTGCTTCTATACCAGCATAGTTTAACCATAGCACTGCAGGTTAGACTGCTAGAGAGGAAAGTACAAACAAACTAACCACCATTACCAGTTGCATATCAATGTGACTTCCAGAAAAAAAAAATAGATTGTCTAATGGCAGTTCTGGTCATCAACTCATTCATTATGTTAACAACCCAATTAATTCAGAAATATCAAACAGCAACCATATCTGGAAGTATTAAAACCCAATTCCCAGATGCAAAGCATAATACAATCAACCAGGAAAATATTTTAATCTGCTGCCATGTGTGATTGAATAGGGAAGGAGGAAAAGGCTGTTTTGTGTTCAAAATCAAAAGGCCATGGCAATAAAAGTTATTTGAAAATGCTGATAGTTGTTCAGGTTCATTTGAAGAACTTGTGAATTGGTTTGTGTAAATGATTTCAACCTCATTCAAAGTTTCCAGACTCTGTTATCCAGCTGCTTTCTTAAATGAACCCTAAAACTGACACGTGCTTGGTTTCAGCTCAGTGTAGATCATCTGTTTCAGTTCAAGCCTGTGGAGTTGTTCCAAATTTACACCAAGACAAATAAGAACCGAATGCAGTCCAGTCATTTTTAATAGCAATAAAACACACTTATCTTCTTGTATACTGCAAGTGATAGCTGAAAACCTACTTTTAAAGGATTTTAATCTAGAAGTGAATTTCACTGCTAACTTTTACTACAGTGTAGTAAGATCCTGAGCCCCCAATTTGCCAATGTGACTTCTTGGGTCAGTGTTACTGTTCTGAGTCCATTTAGTTGGGATAACATACCTTCTACTGCATGGCAAGGGGTTTGGGTCTAAGCTTTAGAGGAAAAGAGAAGGAATGGAATCTGGTGTGAGCAACCAAAGAGGCATTTCCTTAATACAGGGTGTTGGCACCAAGAACCTGCCACTGCACTCATGATTTTTATGTTTGTTTGCTGTCAGTGTGGATTTTTTGCCTGTCACATGGTTCCTAGCTCTCATTTAAAATCCCCATGCCACACATTCCAGCATTTGCCTTTGGACTCTCTTTCCAGGCTGTAAGGAGCATGGGCTGGATCCAGAGATGGCAGTGGGCTGGGCAGGTCCAGCATTGCAGCACTGAGCTCTCCTGAGCCTGGCAGCTCCTTGTGTGTCAGAGCTCAGCTCTGCACCAGACCTGCAGCCCCAGGGTCTGCTCACTGCTTATTGCAGCATCAGGCCAGTTTGGGTGGGAAAGGACCCTTAAAATGAACAAGGATCTTTACTAGATCAGGTTTCTCAGGGCCCTGCCCAAGCTGACCTTGGATGTTTTCATGAATAGAGCAGCCACAGCTTCTCTGGGCAGCCTGTTCCTCTTTGTGTAAAAAATTCTCCATTTTATCTATTGCAAATCTGCCCTCTGATAGTTTAAAACCATTACCCCATGTCCTGTGACCACGTCCTGTAGTTTCCCTGTTTATGAATGTAAGTATTAATGTGTACCTTCCACATTGAATTCACAGCTGTAAAAACTGATTTGGACTAAAGCACCGCTCCACTGAAGAACTGCGGGATGTATTTTGTGTCTTGTGAGACATTTTGGGAAGTGGAGCTGCCATTATTGGTGTGAAAGAGTGATTGCTTTCCATCTCTTGCGTGGAAACCTCGAAACCCAACATTTTTCACCTCCCAAAACAGCATCATGGCCACAAGGCTACAAGTTTCTTGAGGTTGTTGACACTTGTCTCCTCCCTTCCTGTTAAATTTATTTCGCTTTCCATAAGACACAGCAAGAAAGCAAGCAGGGAGATTGTCACCTGGGTTAATACATTTGATTGGGAGGGGGAAACCCTGAATTTTGGTTCTGTTTCAAAGCTGCTTACATAGTTTTATGTGACATATCTACAAACTCGGTCAAACTCTAATTCAAGCAGCTTTTCAGCCTCTTTCTGTAACTGGAAGTTTTGCTAAAGGAAGGACTCACTTGAGCACACATTTTAATCTCATCCTGTTTTTAGTAGTACAAAACTGATGTTGAGTTCCTTAAGGGTTAGACTAAGACCAAGAGTTGTGTGTTTTTAGGATCTTGCTTGGAGCAGCACGAAATAGAGCTGGGTGTACTTCAGCATCATGGAAAGGTAAAGGACAGGTTCAGCTCCATGAGCTGTTTAAAGTTGGAAGGATTCTTTGTATTGTCAAGTCCTGTGCAGCTCAAACATTTGATCTTGTCCTACTTACTGAGGGAGGAGGACACAAAAAACTTAAGAAACAAATCACACATTTTAATCTCATCCTGTTTTTAGTAGTACAAAACTGATGTTGAGTTCCTTAAGGGTTAGACTAAGACCAAGAGTTGTGTGTTTTTAGGATCTTGCTTGGAGCAGCACGAAATAGAGCTGGGTGTACTTCAGCATCATGGAAAGGTAAAGGACAGGTTCAGCTCCATGAGCTGTTTAAAGTTGGAAGGATTCTTTGTATTGTCAAGTCCTGTGCAGCTCAAACATTTGATCTTGTCCTACTTACTGAGGGAGGAGGACACAAACAAAAAACTTAAGAAACAAACGTTTCAAGATACAAAAGGTATTATTTTCTTGCAAGAATTTTGGTAACAAATGAACGTAATGGATTAGTCTAAAATGTACCAGAAAAATAATTTTTGGTGAGCATTTTTTACTGTGATACTGTGTCTTCCTCATCAAACACTTCTTGCTGTTGCAGGAAGTTGGTGGTACACACACGCAATGTGTAAAGGCTTTGTAACGTCACATGTCTGGTCTGCAAACAGCCTCTGCAGCTGCTTTTTCTATTAAAATTTTCCACTTCCAGCTGTGCTTGACAGAAGCAAAGGCTCTGAGAGGTAAATGAACTCTAGTTTTTCCATGCCAAGGGGGCAGTGTTGATGCCCTAGGTGCAGCTCAGACACCAGGCTCAATTCCTGGTGCAGGAGTTTCTCAGAGCAGAGAGCAGAGCACTGCTGGGCTGGGAGGAAGTGATGCCTCATCATTGTGGGTACGAGCAACTTGTTCTGACAGGAAGCACATGCAAGGCCTCCAGTGAGGTTTTCAGGTCTCTGATGACAGAAGCACAAGGTCTTCAGAGAAATTTTAAAAACCAGTGAATGCAAAAATAATTTCTCATAACTTTGACAGGGAAGTCATGCCTGAGTAAGACAAAACCCCCAATTTTTAAATTGATGTGTGCCCCTCCTGCTCCAAGTGTCCTCTTCTACCAGTTTTCTTCCTGCTAAGAATGTCCATTTCCCAATTTGTTTTAAACTGAATAGGGAAAAAGCATAGCTGGCAAGCAGCTCACAGGCTGGCTCTTTGGTGGTGAATGGACAAAGGGGTGAGGAAGAGCAGACAGAGGTGAACATGCACATGAGACTGAGAGCTGTGGTTTCACTTCTGTTCACCCTCAGCCACCACCAGAGCTCCCTCCCCAGCACAGGGCCTGACTGACGTGGTGTGGTTACACAGCATCTCCCAGAGGCACGTAGGACTGGGAGCTTGGCAGAGAATTTGTGTGAATTTTAGGTGAGTTCAGTTGGTTGGAGTTTTTTTCTTTAGAAAATCCCAAAGTCTCTGATGGTACAATGAATCGAGGAAGACAGAGGGTCACAGATGTGCTCACACGTAGGCAGATATTTAACCAACTCCCCCACAGCATGTTTTGTGTTAACTGGGGAAAGAAAACAGTTGCCTGTATTTGAGGAAGCAGACACAGGGCTTTGCATAGACATTCAGTTGCTGCTTAGGTTCACCTCTGTTCCTCCTTTTTAAAACTCTTAGTAAAAAGACCTAAATCTGTGCCAAATTAGCTCTGACCACAGACTGAGCAGCTTTACAGAGAAAAAAAGTCTCCCAGGCCCTTTCTTGCATTTCACCGGCAGCACTTGAGGACAGGGGGTGAAAGGGATTGTTTTCAGAGAGGGGGATGTCTATGTTTAGATACAGCTTCATCTGGGTCCCATTACATCCTCAGCAGCTGAGAAGCTGCAGCTGATCTTCTAAAGAGCAGCTTCCTCCTCCTTCCCCACGAGTGCTGCAACCACCCGACTGTAACACAGGTTAAGCAATTGCCACCTCACCTTCCCCTTCTGCTCTCTGCACCCCACCCTCTTCTGCACTCTGTATCCAACATTCCAAATGCACACAGAGCCATGTTTTACACAGCATTTTCTCATGCATTTATTGTTTGCTTTAAAACCCATAATATAAAATGGATTTGAAGATGAAGGAGCAGTTCACCAGGGCATATCTATAGTTTTTGGCCTGCAATACAACATATTGTATCACATAACTGAAGACACTTTTTTGTTATCCCATCCAAGAGAGTGAATTTAGAGGTTTGTTCAGATTCCAAGCAAATAAACATGTTTCTCCCAATGGGACAGCCCTGTCTGCCTCACCAATTGCCAACAACAACTTGAAGGACCTTTTAATTTTACAAGTTATGCTGTTAGAAACTCAGAGGCCTGAACTTCAACAAGGAAAACTTTACACAGCACTAGAGGAAGTTAGGAGGGAAAAAAAGTTTGGCATCTGATGTATTTAATGCATTTAAGGGATTATCTCAGCAACAAAATGGCAAATTGGTTGCAAACAAGTAGATGGTTTGGGAGAATAAGAAGGGATAAGCAGTACAATCTTTGCTCTGAATGTTTATACAACATGCATGATTTTGTCAATTGTGTATTATTTCTGGATTAAACCCTGAGATATCAATCCCTCTTTGTTCTGCACCTCCCCACAGAGCCCATGGCTGTTGTGGAAGCTCAAATACAAAATGGTCCAAGTCCAAGATCCCATTGTACAAACATCTCAGGCAAACTGAGTAATAGCTTATCCAGCAGGGATTGCCTTGGAATAAAATGTATCTCAACCAATCATTTAAATTAAGGAAGGGAGTAAAATTTTGCAGTATTATTGGCTTTCTAGTTCTTCAGACTGGCTTTCTCCAGTTCTTCAGACTGGAGACAAAAATGTTGGCAAGTGATGAGTATATGACTTTGGACTGAAGCAGGTACCAGAGCAGGAATCATTGCTGTAAAGTTGGGGCACACTGAAATTTTCTGCATTCCTTCATTTGAAATATCAACATGAAGATGTGAGATGTGGAACTGCCTGTAGGGCAGTTTCTGGTCTGTGTGTGGATTGTGGTGAGAGTGGGAAGGACCAGTTCTCCTTGTGGAAATTCTGTACATCACAGACACATGTCTGATTCCAGCATTCAAATGACAAATACACCTTCTAAAGACTGCTTGAATCATGCTTTCTTCCTTATTAAATGAAAAAGATTGGGTTTTTTTTCCTGAGCTGCCAGCTGTATCAGGGAATTACTGCTTTCTTTCACTTAATCTCTCAAAGCAAGACACCTTCAGACCCTGGCACGGTGATTACTGTAATGGGAAGAGTACAGGTCTGAAGCAAACCAGCTTCCTCTTGTCACATCACGTGCTAGAATATCCCTAATCAGAAGTATGACAAATCCCCTGCTTTTCCAGAATTCAGCTGAATTCCCTTAGATCTGCTGGGGAGTCTGCTTCAAAGGCCAGTTAAGCCTGGCTCATGCTGCAGCATGGCTTGTACAGTCCTGGGTGTAATCACTGCTTCCTCTCAGCTCACCAGGCTGGGAAAAGCAGGTTTGCCACTAAGGTTTCCACTTCACCATTCCTGTCTACGAAATACAGTGTTTCTTCTCCTCACAGCATCACATGTGAATGTAAATGATTATGGGGACTGCCACTGTCAAACTGAAAATATTTAATAATAATTGTCATATTCCTCTTGATGACTTTATTTTTGAGCAGCAACTTGGCAGTTGGTGTTTAGAACTGCTTCTAAGTCCTCAGCAAGTGGACAAAGCAGGCTTTTTATTAAAACCTGCCAGGGATGTGTTCTGTATTCTAGACTGTGAGTTTTGTCAGTGAGGGGGAATCTCCTGTACTCAAGGGAAGGAATTAAACAAGCGTGAAATTACAGTACTATTGTTCTTGATCTCCAGTATGTGTCTGTACATATCCCCATTGCTCTGCTTGCTCAGGACAGAGGTTTCTTCATCCCAACCATCCTGTGTGTTTCAGGGCAGGAGGACTACGATCGGCTACGGCCCCTTTCTTACCAGAACACCAATGTGGTGTTAATTTGTTATGATGTCATGAACCCCACCAGCTATGATAACGTAGCAGCCAAGGTAAGAGGCTTCTAAATGAATTGCACATGCCTGATATATGACAAGATGTCAGATTAGAAATGCTGGTGCTTTTAGTGTCCTGTACCCTGGGTGTGTAGATGCCCAGATCACTCATCCTGTGCTGAGCTGCAGGTCACAGACCTTAGACCTGGGGCTCACCTCTCCATGGCTCCTAAGTGCTCAGGACCAGGGCTGACTCTCACTAAAAAGATCAAACACCAGCAATTAAATCACTGCTTTATCTGTAGCAATGTCACATGAGCAACATTGCACATCTTGGAGTCAAGACTACTTCCATCACATGTGTATTTATTTGCAGGGGAAGATGAGAGCAACCACTTCTCTGTGCTGGGATTTCTGTAACATTCCAAAGCATTCTTGGACATAGCACCAGGAAAACAATGCAAGACTTAGTACAAATTCTGTTTTGAAATGTGACTTTAGAGTAGATCCTCAGAATTTAAACAGATGGTAAATAAACATTTTGGCATAGAGACAGATGCTACTATGTTTTTATAAAGCAGCTGACTTTGGGTAGGAGTTTTAAACACTTCTGGGATGTAAATAGTGCATGTTGGGCCCCCACCACTAGACTAACTCCAAAACTCTGAAATTGCAACTTACATTAAATGCTGCTTGGCTGTATTGTGTTGATTTCAGGAAACAAACGAGAAAATAAAAAGCAGCTGTAAAAGTTTTGTTTTTCTACCCGCAGTGGTATCCTGAGGTGAATCACTTCTGCCGGGGTGTCCCGCTCGTGCTGATCGGCTGCAAGACAGATCTCCGCAAGGACAAGGAGCAGCTGCGCAAGCTCAGGGCTGCCAGGCAGGAGCCCATCACCTACAACCAGGTAAACTTCAGTGTTTCTGCAGTGGTGGCCTCCTGGCAGGAGATAAAGCACGTGATGGCATTGCTCCTCACAGGTATGGTCACAGACACTGCAAAATTAGGTGATCCAGATAAAGAAATGGTTGGCAGCACTAAGAGAACTTTATGTAAGTTGTTTTTGGAAGTCATCAAATCACCATCCATTTTTAGTGCCAAAGTAAAGAGAAATATGAGCAGTTTTAAAGGACACAACTATCTATCTGCCTCCTGTGCTAATCACATCTCATTCTTCTTTCACAGCTGGGTTATTCCTGTTAAAAGTTTGTAAGCCTTAACAAGTCTGCTGGACTTCCTTCATAATTGTTATTATCCTACATTGCAGCCATCACTGGTGCTTTGATCAGTACTGTGATAAAGACTGGAGATGTCAGGAACCCATTCCAGTATGACCGTTCTGGAATAAATGTGTTTTGCAAATCCCACTTAAAAATAAATCCTTTCAAGGCAAATAGCAAGAACATCTGCAAGGTTTCTCTGACATGAGAGACTGTTCTTTGAAGTCTCTAAAGTAATCTTAGAAAAACTATTATCAGTATCTCTAAGTATTATGAAGCAGTTAAATTTATGAGTGGTGTTATGTCACTGGCATAGCTGTCCTAGGTACAGGAGAAACAGTGATGGAACAGCTTGTCCCATGTCACATAAGACCTTTCTGCTCTGGTCCTCCAATTTTTCTTTTTTCTAAACTACAAAGCCATCCTTCTCCTCTCACCTCAGAGCAAGAACAGCAGCTGAGACACACGTCCAGGGAACAGGGTCAAGTGCACTAGGACCTTGAGTGAATCACCACTTCTTCTAAACAGCAGGAAAATAAACTACAACTGCATCACCACAAAACCATGCTGGGCCTTTTAGTTTGTCTCCCTTGCATACCAGATGAGGTCCCAGCCTGTCACTGTGAACAGTTGCAGATTGTCCCTTGTTTGCATGAATAAATCCCTTCACCATCTTCACATGAGAGAGGTTCCAGTCAAGCAACAGACACTTCTGGCCAGTCTGCTGAGGCCTTATGCAGATAAACTCAAGGACCCACATGTTATACAAACTTTGTTTCTTGTGTGAGCCCTCCCACTTGGTTTTTCCTCCCTGAAATATGCTCTACCTCAGTTTTTTACAGCTGATGGCACCTTGATGCTTCCCATGCCAGGCACAGAGGATCTGAACAGTATCTGCCACCACTGCAGCTTGCACACAACTGGAAGGAGACAAACTGCTTAAATATGAAGAAAGCCCCCTACCCCAGTAAAAGCCCAAGTGACCCCACTCCCAGAGATCACAATGAATAATTGCAGAGTCTGTGAGCCATAGGTTGCAGTCCTGGAATTCACAGTGAAAGGCTCACAAGCATTCAGACCTGGGGGCTGGCTCTGCAGGGACAATAAAAGGATCTCAAGTAAGAAATCACTGTGCTTTGTCTGTAGTGATTTCACACAACCAGCATTGCATGGAAATACTTTAGATTCAAGCCTGTTCCCTTTGCATGGCTGAGAAATGCAGGCACCTGCTTGTGCTTATGAGGATTTTGGCTGAGCCCTTGTGATGCTTCAAAGCATGTGCACCAGCAAAACAAGGCAAGGCATCAGTGCAGATTCTGTTTTTGCATGTGACATTCATTACTAAAGGTGACATCACAGAATAGTTAAGGTCAGGCCTGAAAAAAATACCACCATGTAGACATCTTATCCTCACTTAGGTACCTATCTCAGCATTTAGTTTAAAGAAATTCAATACTGAGAATATTTTTGTGCTGTCAGGACTCTGCACCTCAAGAGTCTCTAATGCTCTGAACTCTTAGGCCAGGCTTTGGTTCAGCAGAGTGGAAAAACACCAAGTTTATTTACAGTGCTTCAGTTTATTACCAATGCCACTCACACTCTAGCGCTGCACTCAGAGGCAGCTCCTTTCTTCATGATTGCAAAGATGTACAAATGAATTCCCTTTCTTCCCAACTCACCTTTCTTCACTCATCCACTGAACTTACATCTTTTCTTACCTTTTTGCTCTTTCCAGGGTGAAGCAGCTTGCAAGGAGATTAATGCACAAATTTACCTGGAATGTTCAGCAAAATGTCGTGAGAACATAGAAAATGTTTTTAAAGAAGCCACAAGCATTGCACTGAGTGCCATGAAGAAAGCCAAGGGCCACAGGAAAAGAAGAGTGTGCTCAGTGTTATGATCTGGACTGCACGAGAGCCAAGTGATTCAGATTTTATAAAAGATTCACTTTAGAAACTTTTTTTTAAACATTTGTATTTCTAGGATAATTTTTATTTTAAAATTTTAATTATTTTTAGTATTTTTGCACTTTTGTTACACTGTTCTCGTGGAGTTTTCAAAGCTGTTTATCATGGTTAGCTCAATGCTGTGTGCCTTCAACCATCTGGCTTTTGCTTCTAAGTGTGAACAACTCACTATTTAAACTGCAATGAACAGCAACTGCTACTATATAACTTAGTGTTGAGGTTTTTTTCCTCTGCAAAATAATTGTGGCATGTTAGAGCTACAATTTACTGCCTTTTTCCAGAAAACTCAAATCTTTCAGAAGCAATGTTAAAGCAGCTTATCAGGCACCTTTGAAGAGACAGAAGAAGTTTTGTCTTAACATTTTTAAGTTAATTTTCCTGGTGGCAATGGCAGGAGTTGGCCTCAAGCTGGCCCCTGATTGCAGATGGAACATCCACCACCCCCTGGACCAGCTCTGCAGACCTGCACCTCAAGAGTTCTTCAAGGCCTGCTGCTGCAATGGAAAGTGGCATTTATCAGTGGAAATACATCAGTTGCTCCAATTAAATAATGGAAAATAGTTAATGTACAGCACTTAAATTTAGAAGTACTCGAAGCAGCTACTACATGTAATGTTAAGTCAGTCTTATAAACATTTACAGCCTATTTAATACAAGACAGATGCAAATCATGGTGCACTGGAGGAAAAATTCATTCACTTGTGAAATCATCTCTCCTGGTATAAATTAAAGTTTTCCCTTTTGTGATGAAGGTGTCAGTTGTCTAAGGATCAGGGAGGCTCCCACTGCACACCCTGGTACACGTGCCTCCTGTCTCCTGGTTCTTTTGCACATCCCCTCACTGAGACCTCAGACTGCAGGAACAATCCCTAGTTTGTACTCATCATAAACCAAACCTGAGAGGGGAAATGAGGCTCCTGCAGTACAGGTGTTGCTGAAAGCTTTCTGTGTAAGGCAAACTGTACATGACCAGCTGGTGCAAAACTGTTTTGGAGCAAGCCATCATAATTGTTTTACATGCAGGTAAACCCTTAAAAAACATTTTTCTTTTTCATTTTTTTCCCTAACTTGTTTTGATTTAATTAAGGTTTTTTAATACTTATGAGTCTAAAATAGGAAATTAAATTAATTGAAAGTTTGTGCACATCCTCGCCTATAGAAAAACCTTGAAGAATTCTGCAGCCTTTTCTCTGCTCGTTACTAAAAGAACCACCCCTCACCTCACTCAGTGCAAAATTGAAACAGCAACGTTCAGGAAGTGACCCACTCACCACCAGCTCCACAGTGGAAATCTCTCTGGCTTTTTTAATCTGAGTTTCTCAGGTTGCAGAGCTCATGTTACTCACCCCTGCAGAACAAGTTCCAGTTTGCTCTCAACAGACAACAATTTAGATTTCATAAATTGAGCATTCAAAGAGTAAAACAAAACCTTACAGGGTGTGCAAAACAGCAAAACACAGCCCAACTGGTGTGAAAACTGTTGAAAATATGCAAATTGCAGTTTATTGTTCATGCCCACAGGACAGTGACACAGCAAAGGTAATTTTGCTAGCTTGAGCAACAGAAGTGAATCCATCCCAAGCCTGTGGTGCATTATCTGTGCCCTGGTGAGCACCCTCTGGGGAGGAGGGCACTGTTTTCCACTCACTCTGCCAGAGGATGTGCCCAGTTTGGGCTTTGTGCTGGCTCAAAGGGAGCCTTCACTGTTGGGAAAGACACAGCCCAAGGCAGCTCAGTGCTGCAGCTGCCTGAGGAGGTACAGAAGTTACAGCACCCAAAAAAAGGTGTTCCCATGAGTGAGTGTAAATTCAAGCAGCACAAGGACTTTACCAGGGTAGCAGTCAGTGTTTGTCCCCTGCCATCCCTTGACACAGCATTTCCATTCTCTTCATTATTGGTACAAGTGCAGCATCTAAAGAAAGTATTTAATATTTGAGCTGAGTCTGTCTTCCCCTTTCCAGAACCTTGCCTCAAAAACCAACCTAAGGGCCATGTGCTTGTTACTAAAAAGGGGCAGAGGCAGTTGCATATTGAATGGTTTATTTTAGGTTCTTTCAGGCCTGGACAAATGACCTGGTCTCCCTGGAAAAGGGCTAGCAGACTTCCCTGCCATTTAAAAACTGCTTTTGCTCACATGATTTTGTTTTCAAAGAAGGAATTCCTCTTCTTTAAATAGCTTTTTAGAAGTGTATATAGCAGCAGTATGGTACAAAGATGAGTATTTTCTTTTCACAGTACACACAGGTTAGTATTGCCACTGAGAATATGCCTTAAACAAATGCCTTGAAAAACAGCATTCGCTCTGTATTACTGATCCACAGAGTGTTCATAAACCTCAATAAATTCAATACCCAGAATTTAAATAATAAAACTGGAAAGTGTCAGGTATCATTCCAGAATTGGAATTACAGTAGATCCCACATTTTCCCCAGTGCTGGCGCTTCACCAGGCAGGTGCATGCTGCTCTATATACAGAACAAAAACCCCAGAAGCAAATACATTTTATATTAAATATACATAAATAGCAGGAGTGTGACTGGAGAGCCATGCTTGCATTAATACTGAGTCTGTGCTGGCAGAGTCCTTTACCAAACACGGGGACAGGGGAGTGCTTCTGAGCCCATCCATCCCTGGCTGGGGTGGAGCAGGATCTGTCCCAAACCCAGCCCTGCTGGGGCACAGGCATGGATGCACACTGGGAACAGGGGGAGTCACAGCTTCTTCACCTTGTCTTTGTTCTTCTGCAGTTTAGTGTGCACCACCTTGAGAGTAGTGAGGAAGTTCCCGAGGAAGAGCAGCAGGAATGTCAAAGCCAACACAAAAACCTGAAAGGGAAGAGGAAGCAGCATTTATTATTTGTAATATTACAATATGGATTATATTCAGCAGTGCTGGGCTCTACCAGACACAGAACAGCCTCTGAGATATTTAAATGGAGTCAGATGCCCAAATATCTTTCAGGATGTGGTCAAGCACCCCCTCTGCCCTGCTCTGTGCTTCCTCTGAGCAGAGCCAACACACACCTGCCATTCCTTGCATTCCTCGTGCCTTGACAATCTGAAAAGCGTGATTGCATTGTACAGCTGCCAGAACTGCAAAGGGGAAAAGAAAAAGGCAATTTAATTAGGAGCAAAAATAATTAAGCCTTTGAAACGTTTGTCATAGCTGTGTGTGATCCAAAGCACCTTTGGGTGGTGCAGCAGCAGACACTGCACCACAGAGGGAGGAGGGCATCACCCAACTTACATGGCCAAAGAACAAGAAGGGAAGGAGAAACGTCAGCCCCCGCCACATCCAGGACTGGAATCCTTCTGGAAAAGGTTGACAGAAGAGGCAGAGTGTGAGCACAGAAGAGCCAGGACTGGACCTGCAGCTCCTCCCCATCCATTTCACCCCCATAAGGGCTATTCCTCTCAAGTAAAAAGATTTCCTGGAAATTGCAGTAGTTGGAGGAGGATAAAGTTAGTGATGACCAAAACCTCCATCTTAGTCTCCTCAAACACTGACAAAGATCAGATTCCTCTGCTCCTGACCTACAGGACCTGAGGAGGGGGATAAAAGTGTCACTGTCCTTTCCCTTGGGACACAGGCAGCCAGGCAGGGGACAGCTCTGCAGTGAGGGGGCACACAGCCTTCTCCCTCCCTATCACTGCACCCAAAACCTGTGCAAAGAAAGCATAGCAGGAGACCTCACCTACTGTAAGGTCCAAGTGGTTTCTCTCCCCCAAAGCCCGGAGCCTATAGAGGCAGCCCCTTTGGTAATAATACTGTAAGAACTGAACACAGCCTGGAGAAGGAGAGAGAAAACATCACTCCACTGGTTATTCAGAAGTATGGTAAGTAACAAACTACTTCAATCATGTTTAATCCAACAGCATTTAATTATTGCTTATATTTGTAGATTGCATATTTGTACACCATCTTTATATTCCTACAGTTTAATATTCCAGTATTTACCAAATGAAAGTGTTTTCTTCTAAGCACATATGACACAAAATTAATTAGCAAGGTAAGATATACTCACTCTGAAATATTGAAAATGCTAAAAATTGACTGCGAAACATCTGATACATGAGTCCATCTGGCCTGGAAGCAGAACATGGGAGGTCCATTAATTTGCTAAAAGCATCCAGTGCATCCAACCCTTCCCTTCACACCAGGACTCATGCCATTAGCAAAGGAACCAGCAGCTGGTGCCCAGCCCATTCCACCCCCTGGGAGCCCTCAGAGGTGCTACAGCCACACAGGAAGTGCTCTCATTGATTAGGTTTCCCCTCTCTAAAAGGATAAATGCTGTCCCCTCTCATCCTTTATCAGTTTTCTCCAGGCAGCAAAGCCATTCAGCATCATCTGCATTGAGAATCTGAGCACTGCAACAGGGGGTGGCTGTGCTGCTTATCCCAAGGGTAGTTCAGGATAGATGGAGGGCAAGGGACCTTCTGCCCCAGCCACTGTCAGCCCCTTACAGATTCAGGGCAGAAGTTTATGTTGTTTTAAAACAATTTTTAATAATTAACTCATTAGTTCATGTCCAAGTCGAGACAGGTTGCACAGGGAGTGCATTGTGGGCTGTCTGACCACCACCCACTGCAAGGGGGTAACTTGAATTTTTTGCTTTAAACTCTCTAGTCAAGGCTCAGTAAAGGCACCAAACACCCATTTTGTGGTGTACTTCCTCTATACCAAAGTGCTGCTTGTTTCCTTAAGTACAAAGACAGAAACTGGGAGATTTTCCTATCACCAGCCCAACTACAGTCACAGGGTTTGCATTTCTTTTTTTTTTTTTTAAACCAGTAATGTAAATACAACCTTGCAGTGTTGTATTTATCATTGAAAACATCTGTAACATCAAACAAATATTAAGGCTCACACGCTGCCATATGTCCTGTGGCCACAGCTTCGTGGTCATGCTGGATTTAAATGCTCAGATGATATAAACACCATGAAACAGGCTTGAAGCACCTCGAGCAGGCAAGAGCAGACTCACCACGTTAACATCACTCCAGACAGGAACGTGGAAACGTAGTGATGAGACACCCACCAGCCTTTGATCCTGAGCAGGAAAAAAATATGGCAGTGAGACAAGAAGCATGGATTTCAGCATTGAAGTCCAGCCTTACAGGCAAAAAACGATCCAAAAAATGGAAACAAAGCAGACATCCAAGCTCAAGTACAAGGGATGCTGTGGCATTTCCAACCAAAGATGTGTGGCCTCTAACACAAGGCAAAACACACACCCCAGACCACATCTACAACTAACCTACAGCTACCAAAACCAGCCAAAAACTTGGACCAATAACTTAGGGACTCTTAGGAACTGCAACTGCTCTCTCCCCAAACTTCAGGTGCCCTTGGATGTGACCAGGGAGGAGGAGAGAGACAAGAGACTCTGCAGAGAGGCCATCAGCATCTCAGATTTGCTAGGCCCCAGTGCCAAGCTGAATCCCTTTTTGTTGCCTGTTTTCTTTAGGGACATTTCATGCTTTCATGTGCTCTGCAGGTGGCACTGTACCTTGAGCCATTGCTAATGAGAATGCTTTCCCGTATCGTCAGCGTGCAGTAATACCACACCAACAGAAAGTTAAACACTTCATCTGTCACCCTGTAAACACAAAAAACACAGAGTAAAAAACCTCTTGTTAATTATAAAGACGCATTTTAAAAATCACTATTTTTCCTTCCTCCTCCTGGGCAGATGAAAACCTGCCCAAGTGAGGCTGCGAGTCCCATCCTGAACATCTCTAACCCACACACAGCACTGCCAGCTCCAGGCCCTGTTACCCTGGGATCCAACACTGCAGATCCTGAGCTGATAAGCAGGTATGCAGGGATGCCATTAAGTGCTGCTCAAGGAGAGAAAGCATCACAGAAGCAGCAGATGATCCAATTTAGAGAGGCCTTTCCAGGCTAATTCAATGAGAAGATTCCATGAGATCTATATAAATCAAATCAACTAAAAGAATGGAAGAGCAATGTGCTCTGGGACAAAAAAAACAAAACACCAAAATTTTATTTTGCCATTTGCAAACTCCTGAAGCCAAGGGGACTTGGGGCAGCCTCTGTGCAGGGCAGCATCATTCCTGCATTGACTCAAGACACACAGAGGCTGTAGTGGAAGTGTGTGGCTCCAACACATTCCTGGTTTTTAAGCAAAACTGAATAACAGAAGCTTGTTGGTGCTCAGACACTTTATCACAACCTAGAGGTAATGTTTCAGGTCTGATTATTTCATGCAAATTCTCTTGTGGCTTTTGTTACCCCAGAGCTGCAGCACAGTGTTGGTCCCTGCCTGGCACAACCCACAAGCACAACCAACTGTTCATTCCCAACAACAGCACAATGCCAGAATAACAACATCAATTTTTAGCATCATCAGGCAACATGATATTGGACTTTCCTTTTAAAAAGGAAAAACAATTAGCTAAAATACAGAGTTGAAGAAGAGCAGGTGTCCTGCTGCCCAATTGCTCAAAGCCTAAACACCACCTGAGCTGTCTCACTGTCCTTAACAGTGCACAAGATAATTCAAACCCAGCACAGTTTTATGCAAAATACTTGATAAGAAATAAAAATGCAGCTTACCTGTAGTGGAGAAAACACCTGCAGGCAACAGCCCCCAGTAACAAGATTATTGTCAGATAAAGTTTGAACTTCTCATACTCATCCTTGTAGGCGAACCTGGAAGGAAACAGGTGCCATTTGTGGACCCAAACAGATGTGTGAGTGGAATGGAGCTTCACCTTTTCCAAACCACATACAAAGCCAAATATCAAGCCCAGAGACAGAGGTTTTGCTGAAACACTTAGAAAAGCAGTGGACAGTGGTGAAAGGCAGTGTTCTGCCTGCAAGCAGGGTCTGTCTCAGCTAAAACACAATGCCTAAGTCCATCAGAGCTGGTTTCTGGATTGGATTGACAAGGTTTTAAAAATACAGATATATCTCCATTTTCTGGAGCACTGTATGCCTAGAAGTCACAGCACCATTTTTCAGCACAAAAAAACTCCAAACACTTTTACAATTAAGGCCAGAGGCCGAGCTGGGCTTAAAAGCAAGTGATAAATGGAATTGGAGCTACACTGGATGTCAGCTTATCCCCATGTCATAGTCCAGAGGCCCACCCTCAACATTTCACTTATCAGGTCTAAGAGAAAGCCATTCCCTCTCTGGGCTTCAGTCCACACCCACAGCTGGCCCCAGAGAAACCCAAACTCACACATGGGGAGGCTCACTCACTTTGCCTGGTTGCTCAGGAGAGTGACATTCACGTTTCCCAGCACCAGATTTAAGTACAGGCTGGAAGACAAAAGCCAAGAGCAGACCCAAGTAAGTTGTTTTATTTGAACACCACAGGATGATCTAGATTGAGGTGATGAGACAGTGGCTCTGCCAAAGCCACGTTTGCTGGAGGTTTTTAATTAAGACAAACTGGAGGGAAATACCACAGAAGAGGCTTTACACATGGAAATATTGGTCAGCATTTCCAGGAAGTTACTGAAAAGGCTTATTTTCCTGGTCTCCTTTTTCCACTACAATCTAAGGGCAAAATATACAGTCTGCACTGGCCAAACCCAAACACAGGGAGGATTTGGAAGAAAATCTGAGGGGTTGCAGCATCACACAGCTTGACAACTGACATAACTCTGTCCTAGCAACCCAACTTGAAGAAAAAGTTAAAGTTGGTTAAAAATATTATTAAAAAAAAGAGAAAAGTCTTGTTCTGATTCAGCCCTCAAAAAAATTAGCTCAGGAATACATCAGTGTGGAACAGTGAACTGCACAATCCCTTGCCAGTGCAGGTTACTGTCATTTTAACAGAAAACCTGCACTGCCCACACACATTTACATCCACTCACAGTTAATGAATTCTGTGTACAACTGACACAGCAGCTCAGCGAGAGACTTATGACTAATCCAATTTTACATGTCTTTCTTCAACCTTTTCCTTCAGGAACAAAGAGCATTGCTGTGAACATTTAAAAATCCAAAATTCCTGGAGCACATACCCATTCCTCTTGGGCAGGTAGGCTTCCATGTCAAAGAAGGCATTCTGCCTCTCCTTGATCTGGCTGCTGATCTCCTGAATGAGAGCAAACTCCTCAGGACTCGCTCTGGGCTTGCACCTGCAAGAACACAGAAACAAGATATTCCTGTTCATGTTTTCACCTCCTTTTTATTTGAAGGAAAATAATGTCATAAAATCCAGGCTGTTAACAAGCTGGCTCTGGGAGCTGCTGTGCTTTGCTCCTGTATTTCTGAGGAACCATTTGGCTTATCACGACTTTATTTCACTGCCAGGTTTATGCTGCTGTAGGTGACTTCAACCAGCTGGTTTATAAATCAGCTTCTCTTTCCATCAGCTCAGTGACAGGATCATGTGGGAATATTGTGCTTTTCTGAAAGAACTCTCTCCACCCTGGGAACTCTGTGCGTGGTTTCAGGCACTGCCCTTGCAGAGGCTGCAGCTCTTCAGGTATGAAGTATTTCAGGATGTAACAGCACACAGAGCTGATGATTTACTGACAAACTGTGGTTTTCATAATTAATGTTAACCAGAGAGCAGTGAGCAGCAGAGCCAGCAGCCTGTGGTGTCAGAGGTGCTGTACTCAGACCTGCACACAAGGAATTCAGCCTGTGGCTCCTGGGATCAGCCAAGCAGCCAGAGAGAGTTCCCATCTGTAAATCCACCCAGGAGCAAGTTACACCTTCAGGTTCAAGGACTAATGTTGCTCTTCCAGTGCAGTTTAGAGAGCAAAGCATTGCTCACCTGGCACAGCCAAGAGCTGCACAGCCCTGCAATGTACAGCACGCACTGAAAGGAAGAAACTAACATAGATTTTCTAGTAAAAATACTAAAAATCCAAGCATTTCAGCCCTTGGGAAGGAGAGCTATCCCATCCCTGCCTCCTCCACCCTCCAGGTCTCCTGTTACCGTTGCAGGCTGTGCTTCAGATCCCTCAGTGTCTTCTTCTGCCGGTGTATGGAGCTGCTGCAGGCTGTCTGCAGGCTGGTGACTTCTTCCAGTTTCTGCCTGTAAACTTTGTGTGTTTCCTGCAGGAGAAGAGGAGATGGTTGGTAGGAAGAGCCCTTCTAGGTTATTTATGGCATTTGGTCCTCACCTCCAAGTGAAACCAGGAAAATCCTGTTTTGTGGGATACAACAGGCACCCCTTTAACAAGGAAGGAGGGGGAAATGCCAAACCAGTATAGCTACAATAGGGCTTAAATGGACACTGATGAAATTCCTGCAAGAGTAAAAGCATCCTCTACACTCATCTCATTGCCTCTTTAAAGAGCTTTCCCGCTCAGGAGCTTCTCACTCCCATCCCACCCTGCAATGAAGCCCCTAATCCTTGAATCTCCTAATCCTCCATTTGATCCTGATCCATGCCCATCAAATGGTGGCTAAATCACAGAGCAGGCACTCCAATTTCACAGCCAGATTAAATCTTGGAGAAAATAAATGAGGACCTAACAAATGAGGGAGGGGAAAGACACAGCATCAGGCTTAAATCCATGGCTGAGTGTTTAGGGACCTCCTGGCCATCACTGCCATCCCAACCCCACGGATATTCAAGCAACCTACTGCCCCATATTCTGGTTTAAAGAGCTGAACTGATGTCCCTGCCTGTGGCCTTGCAAGCTCCCTGGGAGGAACTGCTTTATCACAGCTCATTGGTCCTCTGAAGCCCCCAATTAGTGCTCAGCCATAACAAGGACATGCTCATTGAGGAGCCTCTGACTTCACCCCTCCCTGCACTCGGGGATACCTGGGCTCTGCTTTCCCACCCTCTGCAAGGATTTCACCCCTTTCCCCATGAGGGAAGTCCCAGGAAGGGCTCCCCAAGCACCAAGCAATGACCTCTGAGCCAATTTTAAGACCTGTAATAAGCTGGAAAACAGAGTTTGCAGAGTTAGTGCCAAGAGACAGTGTGGGTTACACGGTGCTTCACCTACCAGCACCAAAAACCACAGGAAATTCCAACTGCTCTTCCCAGAGCATAAACATGGTGCTGAAACCACACAAACCAGATCTCTGCTCTCCTCCTTGCTAGGACCCACTTGGTAGCTGTTCTTTATTTACAAGAACAATCCAAAACAAGCTCCAGTGTCTGATTTAAAGGCTTTAATAACCAAACTAGCACTGTACAGGCACTGCAGCTCTCACTGTCTGAGGCTCACTTTGGTTTTGCTGAGCACACCTCTACAGCACTAATCCTGACACCTCGACCACCAGCAGCTGGCACCCCACCAAAAAGTGTTTCTACTTTCCTTTTCCAGGTGGGGAAACTGAGGCAGGGACAACCACTGACATTTACTGTGGTTTAGGTCAGACTCAGGCAGGGAGCTTGTCGAGAAGGTGCACACAGCAAACAAGTGACCAACAAAACCACGTCAGCTGGTCTCCCCCAGCACCCAACCCTTGTTTCTGCTAACAGGAATACAACCTGAACTGAGTTTTAATTAAGAAACAAGCTAATTGTGGAGATCACACTTTTTTTTTTTTTTTTGCATGCACGTTCTGTTTAACAGTCTAAAAGAGGCTAAACAGCCTCCAGAGTGAGAACAGCCGGTTGTACTTTAAAACTGGCTTTAAGATTTAAAGCACGTGTATAGGTGCAGCACTGACAAGCAGGGAAGGAAGGGAAGGCTTCTGGAGGTAAAAGCGTCTCGTAGAACAGCTCTTGGCCCCCACTCCGAGGCCCTTCCATCCCCAAATGCACTTTTGCAAGATGGGAAAACAGCACTCGGACCCGTCATATCCCACCACGGGAAACCCAACTCCGCCAGGAGATGCTGGCGGGACAGGCGCTGCCCGCACTGCTCCTTGCAGCACGCTGGGGATGCACAACCGCACCGCGTCCCCCTGTCCATCTCTTCTCCAGCAACGGGAACCGAGGCGCCGCATCCCGGTGCATCCTCGGGGCACGGCCGCGGCTCGGTGGGGCTGCGCCGTGCGCTCGCACGGGGGCAGCGGGGCACGGGCTGTGTGCGGGGCCGTGCGGGATGCACAGCCTCGCTCCGCGCGGAGGCAGCGAGCGGGGCTGGGGGGAGCCCGCCCGCCCCGCCCGCCGAGCCGCCCCGGGGATGCGGCGGCGCTGGGGATCCCCGGTCCCGCTCCTGCCCAGCCGGGGCCGGCCCCGCCGAGCCGGCAAGGGCAGCGCGGGGGAAGCACCGCGATGCCCCGCAGGGCCCCGCCGCTCACCTGGAGCTGCCGGAACTCCTCCTCCAGCTCCCGCCACTCGCCCAGGCTCCGCTCCAGCTGGTCCCGCATGGCGCGGGGCCGCGCCAGCTCCGCGGGCCCCGGCGCGCGCCCGCCGCCCCGGGCCCGCGCGCCGCCTGCGCCGCTGACGTCATCGCGCGCGGCCATGGGCGGGCCCCGCTCGCCTCAGGGGAGGGAGCCGGCAGGTGAGGGAGCTGCGGTGTGTGCTCACCTGGGCTGCAGAGCCCTCGGGACGGAGATTCCCCCCAGGTCACGGCCCCCCTCAGGTGCGGGATCCCCTCCTGTGATGGCTCCCCTCAGGCCCGGGATCCCCTCCTGTGATGGCCCCCCCTCAGTCCCGGGATCCCTTCCCGTCATGGTCCCCTCAGGTCAAGGCTCCCCTCAGGCCCGGGATCCCCTCCCATCATGGTCCCTTCAGGTCAAGGCTCCCCTCAGGCCCGGGATGCCCTCCTGTGATGGCCCCCCTCAGGCCCGGGATCCCTTCCCATCATGGTCTCCTCAGGTCAAGGCTCCCCTCAGGCCCGGGATCCCCTCCTATCATGGTCCCCTCAGGTCAAGGTCCCCCTCAGGCCCGAGATCCCCTCCCGTCATGGTCCCCTCAGGCGCGGCCCCTGTCAGGCCTGTGTTCTCCTCAGGCCAAAGCTCCCCTCAGGCCCGGGATCCCCTCCTGTGATGGCCTCCCTCAGGCCCGGGATCCCCTCCCATTATGATCCTCTCATGTCAAGGCTCCCCTCAGGTCAAGGCTCCCCTCAGGTCAAGGCCCCCCTCAGGCCCGAGATCCCCTCCTGTGATGGCCCCCTCAGGCCCGGGATCCCCTCCCGTCATGGCCCCCTCAGGCGCGGCCCCCGTCAGGCCTGTGTTCTCCTCAGGCCAAAGCTCCCCTCAGATGGGGGGTCCCCTCGGCTGCTGTCACCCGCCCTGCCCCGGTCACCTCCTGGAGGCCCTGTGCCTCTCCTGAGCCCCCTTGTGTTGTGGCAGCCCCTGAAGTGCTCCGTGGTGTGACATGGAAGCATCTTCCTGCCCTTTCATGGTGGTTCATCACGCGTGGAGCTGAGAGGAGGTAAAACCCTCCACTGTACAGGGCCAGCCCCCTCAGAGAGAGCTGGGGGCTGAATCTGAGGCAGCCCAGCCCTGCAGCTGCCTGGAGCTTCGTCACGGGTCCTTGGTGTCACAGAAGATGACAAGAGGATTCCTGGTGTCTTTATTTTTAGAATTACCCACTTAACAGCTGGACTGGCCGGTTGTGAGCTGGGCCTGACATTCTGGGGCAGGGTGGGAAGAGTTGTAAATGTTGACACCACATCCTGTGAATTTCTTGTGCAAGGGTAGAAATTGGCAAAAAGGAAGAAAGATGGAAGGGGAAGGAAGCAATTAAAAATGAAAGGTACAAGGGAGAGGAGAGGGGAGGAGTGAAGCCAAAGTAAAGACACAAATGCAATGCTGTCTTTTCATGAGGAGTCTCTGTAGGATCCCATTTCCTTGAGTTTCACATAAACAACCAAAAACTTTGGGTGTAGAGACACTCCTCAGTGTTCTTGCTGTCCCTGGTCCTTCTCTAGGTCCACTGTTTGGCTTTTTTGCATGTTTTTTTCATACATTTGTGGGTGGACACCTGAAATGCTGTTGATGACCTTCTGCATTCAGTTTCCAGAGAAACCCTCTCAGAACTCGCAGTGGTTTGGGATTTCTGCTGGTTTAAGAGCCACCAGCCCCAGGGATGTTGCATTGTCCCTGCTGCTTCTCCAGTGAGGCCACAATTGTCCAGAGGTCAAACACGTGTGTTGTGGCAGGTCTTGGTAACCCTGAAGCAGAATAATAAACAAATCAACATAATAGAAATGTCACAGGAATTTGTTACGTCTGTATTAAATTTTTCCTGGATTCTAGCATTTGTCCAATCCCATGTAACAGGACCGTTTGTTACAGGAGCCTGGATTTTGGATTGCAGACTTTGGAAGAAGGAGGATCACATCTCAGATCGGAGCGTTAACTCTGCACTGGACACGTGCCAGAACTTTCCAGTTCACCACAAGGTTGGAATATTCCCTGCCAGCAAAGTTATTTTTCCTTCCCACATGCAAACATTCCCTCCACCTTTGCAGTTCTCTGTCAGCCCAGTTTACCACAGAGCCACCCCTGAGATGTGGCTGCATCTCACCCCTTGCTGTTGAGGCTGGGGTGCTGACACCCTCCTGCAGATCTGGGGGAATCCAGAAAGTAAAAAGACTGCAACATTTGTGGGATTGCTTGTGTCAGTTCAGGAAAAGGAGTTTTTTTAGAAGATCATAAATTGTCAATAACCCTTAAAAGTCTTCCTTTCACTGCTGATCTGTTAACCTCGAAAAAGCAAAGTAAACTCTTATCAGACATGAATATTTGTCCTGGGCTGGAATTCTGCAGGCTGATGACATTTAGTTAGGGCCGTGGTTGGTGTTTCACATACAAAGGCAGGAAATGTGCATTTCCCACTCAGAGCCCTGCTGTGCCAGCCCCAGAGCTCTCCCAGAACACCAAGGGATTTATCCCAAACTTTCCCACCTGTCCCCTCCACCTCTTGACAAGGAACAATTCTTACACATATTGTGTCTGTGCATAATGATTACCCCAAAAGATTTCTTTCAACTTTTTAACTTGAAGATTCGTTCAAGAGATCTGCATTTTCTTTCAAACAGAAACTGCACAAACAATGGGGGTGTAGCAGGGATGGCCTTTCAGCTGGTTCTGCATTATTTAACCTTGCACCATTACAAAATACTTCAGAATTACCTGTAAGCTCTCCCCAGCCCCTGGGAGGCTGTAGCTGTTTGTATAATCTCATTATTTCAATCACATCTTTGTGAATAAACCAAAGCAAGCTGAGATAAGTGATCCCCTCAGGCCTGGATGGGGAGCAGGGCTCTGTGCAGCTGATGCTCAGGGCTCCCACACCTCGCCTGTCTTTCACTTGTGGCAACACATGAGGAATGGTGCTTTTCCTCTGAATTTCAATATTTTATTATCGTTTTTCACAGTATCTTGCAAGTTTTAATGGCTGTCTTCTGCTGCCAGAGATCACCTAAGGCCATTGCACAGCAAATTTACAAACATGAAATCTCTGATTTGCCTTTACCTTAATTAATCCCAACTCACCAACCTTTCACTGCCAGAAAACATCTCTAAGAAATTGAGTTCATAAATCAAGTTAAGGATCACAGTGAAATTGTGACGATTTGTTCTCTGGGTGTTGGATTTAGTTTGAGTACACATAGTTATATATATATATATATATGTACAGTCACATGTAAGCTCCTTTCCTTCACCCTCCAGACTATTCCTGAATGCAAATTCCATTCATTCTTTCCTCTTAAGATAATTGAGGCTGTTTCCTTTGATGCTTTTCCCCTGTCCTAGAAATGCACATTCTTTCCAGCAGAGCAAAGAAGAAAGGACAAAATATAAATGTAGATGAGTCCCTATTCTGACAGCAGATGACAATAAGCCATGATAAATAAAATACTTGGCACATGTTTCAGCTGGAGATTCATACTGCTGATTCATCTTGTATTATCTGGATTTATCCCTCAATTAAGGAATAAAGTAAGGACTTGAAGTGAGGCATTAGCTCAAGTATGGCCAAATTTATCTGCCTCCAATGATATTAAAAGTCTTGCAAAGCACTCCATGGTCAGTGAATAATTCTCAGCTTTGGGTGACTTCAGGAATTAACACCATAACTTTACCTTTAAACCTCCACCTTGTTGTGGGTATTTAAGCAGAGACCAAAAGCTGTAAATCGGCAGCAACAGGAACTCACAGGGAGAGGGTATCTGGTGTCAGCTTCCAGCACTTCAGCCTTTCAGTCTGCATGACTATCTGAGTGCCTGAACATTCCAGATAACCCAGGGGTTTAACTTCAGGTTGTTTTGATGTAAAACCAACATGGGTTTTATCTTGAGATAACTGCTCCCAACAAAAAGGGAAGAATTTTAAATGCTTTCCCACAAGGCTTGCCTCTTAAGCCAGAGGCAACCAGGTGAAGTTTACACCTCAAACCTTTCACTTCAATCCCTCCTAAATCCTGCTAATGACAATTCTTTAGAGCAGAGTGGTGGGGATGCTCCTTCAGCTCACCAAAACGAGCTTGGTTGGTGTCCAAGACCCTCCCACCTCTTCCCTGGCTTTTCTTTTGAATATAGCAGCAATAAACCACACATCTGAGCATCCCACTTCCACAGTATGTTGTTGTAACACTTTTCACCTTTAAAGAATTCCAACATATGTTTCCCTAAATGTTTTTCCTCTATTTATTCTACAAAGTTCCCAGAATAAATTTAATTTATTGATTCTGACAGTTTTCAGTTGGTTTGGACATTTCACTTGGGTAATTCCCCAAGCTTAGTGCAAGCAAACTCAGCTTGGAGCAGCTGTCTCCTTTCAGTGCAAAAATGATTGGTTTCAGATGTAGAATACTGAGGGCCTTGGGCTATATTTAATTTTTTAAAAATTATTTTAATATTTTTTTTTAATCCTGCCCTTAAAAGTGAAAAAAAATGGAAGTGCATCATATGTCACAGTGCATCATGTGTCATATGCTGCAGAAAGGTGTTTCTGGGCATGTTTCCATGCACAAACTCCCAGTGCTTGGTTTGCTCTTCAGTGTGTCCAGCCTGGAAGTGGAGTTCATTGCAGTGAACAGTGTTGGCAGAATAATGGGCTGAATTACAGCATAATTTACATGGACAGATTTAAAAGCTTCCTTTCAGTCTTAGTAAATGCAAGGTTTAATCAACTGCCAGACAGCTAAAGCAGCAACAGCACAAGCAGCATCAGAACTGCAGCCCTGGCACTGCCTGGTGAAGGTTTTGCTGTTGTTCCTTGGTGTCAGTGGCCAGTGCCTGTCAGAGTGAAACAAGAAAAAGAAACCAAACAGCCAAGAAGGGTATTTGGGGCCAAATTTTAGCTGGCAAGGCTGGAACAAGGGGAATTGTGTCAAGGAAAACCCAAATTCTCCTCCTAGCACATCCAAATTTGAGTTTTTGACCCTACTTTTGATAGTGGCCTCAATGTTGTGCCTGGAAACAACTGCCCTTAGGAGAGGAAGAGAGTTTGGTTAGGACACTTCTGGGTCA